GGGGTGGTATGTAAGATTAAGTAGATAATATTTTTCTTATTATTTCCACGGGTAAGCAAAAGTCAATAATATCAAAGTGTAAAGGATTAAATCGATCAGTTGTAAGAGTTAAGAGGCAGTTGGAGCGCCCTACTTGTAAGTAATTCCATTGTTGACAGCAACAACAACAACAACAACCCGGTAAAATCTCACAAAGTGGGGTCTGGGGAGGGTAGTGTGTACGCAGACCTTACCCCTGCCCCGATGGGGCAGAGAGGCTATTTCCGATAGACCCTCGGCTCTGGAAGATGGAAGTAAAACAAGAAGAGACAATTCATCGGTAACGTCAACAGAAACCATAGAACTAGTAATAGAAGCATTGTTCAAGACTTGAATTACCTTAAATTCTTAACACCATTTGGGATCTTTTCCCCTTCATTTCAGGGGTGGAGAGGGTCTGAGGGTGAGGAAAGAGGAACATAAAGGGTAAGAATCAAACCATGCACCTCTAGGCTGCAAGGTATGGATGTAGACAATCGTATTTAACTTGACAGCAAAATAAACAGAACAAGATTGTCAAATAGGCAGTTATTTCACTTGCCAGCAAACTAAGAAAAGCGATTAACTTTTTAAGTGAGGTTTCATTGTAGCAAAAGGGCATGGATGTAGTTGCTACGAAACAAATAAAACTCATCTAATCTTCTCTGTGTCGTTCCAATTAAACACTTGTGTACTGAAAAAGTAGCTACGTAACACATTCTCCTAATAATATTTTATCCTTCCAAGTGTTTGAAACAAGGTCGGAAAGAGATATTACCTACAAAGAGCTTTCATTTCATCCTTCCACCCAGATTCCACAAGCCTTTCCCTCAAAAGCTCCTTCAACCGTTCCTTTTCCCCACTCTCAATCAACTGAACAAGCAATTCATCAAACACTTAGAAATTATACAGCTGATCATTAATATAAAGAAAAAACTGCAAACGATGTGTCCAAAAGAAAATTTTGATAAAAATTGACCTTAATGTTGATAATTTCATTAAGGGTAGGCTCCTTTTCTTGATCATCCCGTGTATCAGGTGTTGGTGGACGATTTACCGAATGCCTCCTATGGTTATATACAACATTACAATTCCCAGCCGAAAGTATTAAACAGTTTAGATTTTAACAGATAAATCATAAACTGTAAGTTGTATTCTAGCTAAGGAAGAAGAAATTACATGCTTTTGTTGTGCTAAGAAAACCCACAATCGGATTGAAGCTTCGCGCCTGTTGCTTCTAGCCCTACCGCCAATTAAGCTGCGTCTAAGACTTCTATTACCTCCTTTTCTATATAAATAAAAATAAACCTACGAGTAGACAGAAAAGTTGTACGACGCTGTTCCTTTTTTGCCTTTTATAAGGATCTGTTATTTAGCCCAAACTAATAGGATAACTATCACTTTTTTGTTTACTATACTTGCACGCGCACCCTATTTTAAATAAGGGATTTTTACGTTCCTATACCACATATGAAATCTTATTACCTTCAATGTTTAAGATTTGAGTCAATTACATTTCAGTATACCAAATTACTATTTATATATCATAATTCAAATCAGGGATATAATTTAGGGTGTATTTATATTAGGCATAATTATCGGACACTTGATTCTAAAGACCGAAAAATTAGGCAAATTGCTATTCGCACGCCCCTGTTTCAATTTCTTTGCAATTGACGGACAGAGGAGTATTTGTTTGTATCCAATTTCAATGGCAACACTATATGTCCACGGTGACAGTGGTAAGAAGCATTTGTGGTATTGAATTGATACAGAAAAATTAAATTGCATTTCGGATGGACTTTCTCCGGTTGCTCAAATGGAGTTGGAAGCCGGAGGAGGCATATTTCCAGTTGGAAACTCGAAGAAGAAGAAGAAGACGACATATTTTCAGAATTTGTAGATAAATTGTAGAAAAATTATAGATAAATTGTAGACTGTTTTTTGCAGAAGATTTTGTAGTAACTTTAGTCGTTTTGGATTTGTGAAAACAGAAAACAATGCATCTACAATCAGAATACAAATAATCTACAATTTATCTACAAGATATCTACAAACTGGATACATTGAATTTTAATATCCCAATTCTCATTTCAATTGTAGCATAATTGGCATTTTCGACATAATTGTAGAAGATTTGTAGAAGTTTTAGTCTTCCCAATCTACAATTTATCTATAATTCTACAATTTATCTACAATTTCTGAAAATATGTCTTCTTCTTCTTCTTCGAGTTTCAATCTGAAATTCAGTCAAAACCAAGTCTAATCTTCACCAAAACCCCTCAAAATTGAGATATAAACTCCTAAACATATTCCAAGTTATTTACAACAACACCCAATCCAAACAAATAATGATTTTTGAAAACCCAAATTTGAATTCAAAGCTCTAGCTTTTTAATGGCTATCAATGGTGGAAAATATATGGAAGAACAGATTTTTTCAACTTTGAGTTGTTGAAACTCAAAAATTTGAATTGTTCGTTCTTTTTTTTCGAGAATTTGAATTGTAGTTCTGGAGAAAAATACGCAGATGAGAAATCTCCCTTTCCTTTTTAAAAATTAAATTTAATGTAGAATCAATTAACATCAAGATTCTCTCCTTAAATTTAGCGCGTTTTTTAGGGAATATTCTGCCCTTTTAATGCCTAATAGTCGAATGGTATATAAATTGTAGTTAAAGTGTGGACTGATAATTAACAAACTATGCACATTTAGGGTAATAAGGTTTCATATATGGTATAGTTAGGAAAAAATCCCTTTTAATAAACGGAAAAGGTCCAAATACGCCCCTGGACTTTACGATAAGGTCTATATATAACCTTCGTTAAAAGTTTGGCCCATATTCAACTTTGCCGTTACAATATTGGTCCAGACCCTTTGTTTTAAACGGAGCCAAATACCCTCCTGAACTTTACGATAAGGTCTATATATAACCCCTGGATACCCCCTTTGTTTTAAAAGTTTGGCATATAAGGTCTATATCTTAAACTATTTGTCCAATTAAATAATTATTTAAAAATCTTCTTTTAATTTTTCGTAAACTTATAAGTTCACATAAATTGATCTACATGGAATACAATATTTTAGATGTTTTTTTTTTCAATGCACCTATGAGCAGACCGTACATTGAAAAGGATCTAATTGTAAGAGGATGTTACATTATATATTTTCTCCTTTTCTTTTTTCTCGTTTTCTTCTTTTTTCCTTTTCTAATTTCATTTAACTTCTTCTTTTTTATATTCCTTTTCTCTTCATAATCTAATTTTATTTACTATTTTCGCTATTTTTTATTATTCTTTTTTTAATATTATTACTAAAGAAAAATTAAATTGTGTACCAATTAAATGCCGCTAATACAACGAAAATTTTTTTAACTAACATATGATACCAGTATAGTATATAGTTATACCAACAGGGTATACAATTGTAAACTTATACCCATATAACATCTAAAAGGATTGTACATTGAAAAAAAAAATTATTGTAATTGAAAAATTAGGGTATACAATTTATGTGAACTTATAAGTTTAAGAAAAATTAAAAGAAGATTTTTAAATAATTATTTAATTGGACAAATAGTTTAAGATATAGACCTTATATGCCAAACTTTTAAAACAAATGGGGTATCCAGGGGGGTTATATATAGACCCTATCGTAAAGTTCAGGGGGGTATTTGGCTCCGTTTAAAACAAAGGGGGTATTCGGGCCAATAGTGTAACGGCAAGGTTGGATATGGGCCAAACTTTTAACGAGGGTTATATATAGACCTTATCGTAAAGTCTAGGAGAGTATTTGGACCTTTTCCGTTTTAAAAATCACATTTTATATTAACAAATAATGTTTGAACAATAAAATAGGTACAACAAAAAGAGTAAGTTCCTACAAATATTTATTGTTGATCCTATATAGCTAACTTAATAATGAAAGTACGGTAATACAAAAGTCCTCAATCATCTTGGTAAATATATTCAATTATAAACTGATTTCATCTTTATAGGTTATTATTATTTTACAAGTTTTCAAGCTTCTTTTTAGTTTTAGTAAGCACATATTTAAGTGTTTTTTCTGATTTTTTGTTCAAAGGTATATATTCTTAAGCTCATTCAATAAGCACAATTTAATAAAGAAAGAAACGGTGCTACATAAGTCCTCAATCATCTTGGTAAATATATTCAACTATAAACTGATTCCATCTTTATGGGTTATTATTATTTTACAAGTCTTCAAGCTTCTTTTTTAGTTTTAGTAAGAACACATAAACTTTTGAAGATTTAAGAGTTTATTCTGATTTTTTATTCAAAGGTATATATTCTTAAGTTTATTCTATAAACACAATCATGTCAACTAATTAACAAAAAAATTTCTCGCCGAGGAAAATAACTCAAATACATAAATAAATTTTGAGAGTTTGGCCAAACAAGCTCAATGACTTCATTAAGGTGCAGACGTATTTTAGATTCATATCAATTATTATTGAGTTTATATTTCACGATTATAAATATTTTGTGGCATTCATATTCCTAGCATTTTATAGTAATAAGGCTAATTATATCTCTTTCTTATTCTTCAGCCATGCACACTATCAAATGCACTAAATTTAGTATATCTTTCTCTAAGAAGTTTAATTGTTCTGTTTTTAAATATTTAAGGCTCATTGTTTCTATTTCATGTTATTGCTTCCTGTTTTTCATAAAATAGCAAATTACATGTCCATTGAAACCAAACATGCTAATTTGTTATATCTTTCTGTAAAAAGTTTATTGCTCTATTCTTAAATGTTTAAGGCTCATCGGTTTCGAATTTCATGTAGTTACTCTTTTTACATAATTTTTTCATAAAACATCAATATATATGTTCACGAAAAATAAACATTTTAACTTTTAAATTACATACTTGAATTGATAGCTATGTAGAAAATTACAAGAACTTTTGTTACTACAAAACTCAAGAATGTCTATTATTAAATTTTAAAATGTCACGACCCGGATTTCCCACCCTCGGGGTTGTGATAGCGCCTACTAATGGAAGCTAGGCAAGCCAATTGTCCAGTTACTTAACCTTGTTCTTATGTTTTAATCCTTCGACAATGGTGAACAACATCATATAAACAGCGGAATTAAATAAGCGGAAGAAAAGAAATGTAACGATTTAAATATTTCCAATACAATTCCATAACTAAAAGCTATCCAGATCTGGTGTCACAATTTCACAGACTGTCTAAGAGTACTACAAATAAAGGTTCGAAAAATAAATACAAACTGTTTTAGAAATACATAGAAGAAAGGTAGAGAAAGATAGAAGGAGACGCCAAGGCCTGCGGACGCCTGCAGGACTACCTCGTGTCGCCTGAATGGACCGAAGACAGCACCCTCACTGTAGTCCAAACACTCCGGTATCAGTATCTGCACACAGTGCAGAGTGTAGTATCAGCACAACCGACCCCATGTGCCGGTAAGTCCTAGCCTAACCTCGGCGAAGTAGTGACGAGGCTAGGACCAGACTACCAAATAAACCTGTGCAATTAAATCATCTACAGCGGAAAATAAAAGCAGATATTCACAGCTAAAGATGGGGAGGGGAAGACATACTACGGGGAGTATCGGATAACAACAAAATACCAAAGAGGAATGTAAAGAACCCATAATTTAGTTGCCAACAATAATGAGGAAAACAAACACAGTATTCACTTTCATTTCTTTCTTGTTGCAGGTGTGCAACCCGCTCCCATTTCATATATCTCGTTCCAGGCGTGCAACCCGCTCCCATTTCATATATTACCGTTGCAGGCGTGCAACCCGCTCCCATTTCATATATCCACACCAATTATAAAAGAATCCCGGCAAAGGAACAGTAATATAACAATAACATCCCGGCAAGGAAACAATAATTTAACAACAACATCCCGGTAAGGGAACAATAATATAACAACAACATTCCGGCAAGGGAATAATAATGTAACAACAACATCCCGGCAAGGGAAACATAATATAACAACAACATCCCGGCAAGGGAACAATAATGATAATCATCATATTAAGCATGAATAAACCACGACGGAGTAAAAAATATTACAATACAAGACTCACGGGCATGCTTGACACTGACGTATAGATACTCGTCACCATGCCTATACGTCGTACTCCACAATTTATACATAGCAAATAAGACACCACTCCTAATCCCCCAAGCTAAGGTTAGACCAAACACTTACCTCGATGCCATGAACACAATTCAAGCCTCAACTACCGCTTTACCTCTTGATTCCACCACCAATTCGCTCGTATCTAGCCACAAGTTACTTAACTATATCAATAAATGCTAAATGAATCAATTCT